CAAACTGGCACGTCCATTAACGGCGTCCGTGACCAGCGCATCGTTGTGCAAATTTTCGAACAAAAACGCATTTCCATTACCATTGCGCATTTCTGCACAAAAAGCCGTCTTACCGAAATCCGAATCCGCGTCTAGTACAAACCAGCTCTCACCTAGCGCCGCGGCGGCCTTGGCGCCACTGCCGCCGCCGCCGCCGCCGCCGCCGCCCGACATGTTAACACATCCTCCTCTTCCTCCACCGCCGCAGTCCGAATTCACACCACTTCCTCCCTTTCTGCCGCTACCGCCGCCACAGCCGCCTTCGCCCTTCGTCTTCCTCTTCCTCGTCTGTATTCCCTCTTTCTTCATGGACATCGGTCGGTTGACCTGCAAAAATCACCTGTGTGTTAGACAAGCACGAAACGCGCAATGGGCGAAGGCTGGCTGGATGACTGGTTGGATTTGCTCGCCATGCCATGCAGTGAGTGCGGGAGGCAATCACCGGCTGCCGATCCATCAACTCCTATCCATCACCACAACGACACCTCTGGCTGATCGCACTGACTGCAAAGGTCGAACTCGATCCGATGCCAGTGATCGCCGATATGTCCAACGACGCGGTGTGCCTGGTCTTTGACATTGAATTACAAGTTCAAGAGACATACAGACAGAAAGATCTGATCGTCCTGGTCCTAACACTAACCGCTGACCGCTCGATCGACCGACGTCTCAAAACTCGACACAGAAGAGTAGCCGGCTAACAGCACCGCTTCTGCCTTTCGGCTTTTGAACCGAGGCGTCGTAAAACAAACCTCACCTTTTCGTTGTTGACTGGTCAACCGCTGGCCTGCCTCACTTCGCCTCAGTACAACCACTAGAGAAAGCATGCTACGCAGACGCCCTGTCGTTCGCTCGTCGCTTTACATCAATGCGTGTGCGACGACGACGACTAGCAAGCAACGGTCACGGATGTGCCATCTTTGTCCGTTGCAGAAATATACGTGAAACCACAACCGTACAAGACCGCGATACCATGAGCCACAGCGGTGCTTTGACCGCCAGCATGGCAGAGAAACGGGACTGACTCCTGAATTGCGGGAGTGACCAAGGAAATACAGGTGGAATCATTTGGAAGAGTATCCGCGACGCGTCACTGGCGCACTTAAGAACCAGGCAGTTATCGCGTCTGAAAATGCACAACTTCTTCCTTTTCAAAGTACCTTTACACATAGGCGCCAGTTCAGTAGCACGGAGTGACGTGCAACCTCAAAGCGATGAATGCCAAGATTGTGAGAAATGCGCTGGGCACCGGCTCTGCTGCCTTTGCTGTCAAAATTACACCTTCACTTATACTTCCTGAGCTGAGCAGGAAGAATTCAACATCGCAGAAACAACGGCCGTCGATTTCGTCGGTTTTTGAGCAGGAATACCCCCGCAGCGATATTAACGTAATTGACAGACGCGATCTTGCGTTTATGCACAGTAGGTGCTTAAATTCCATGTAGTTATTGCTAGTATAAATCGTCTCCCCGTAGGACATTACAACGAGCAAAAGGGGCGGTGCAACAGTGCGGTATTTCCTAGTGTAAAGTTTTCCTCTGCCTTACATCACTGCAGCATCGGTGTAAAGTAAAAATATGTCCTTTCTTTACACGGTAGGTTTCCGCCGCTTCAACCCGGTATCGATATATTTTAAACATAAGCGATATTCTTTTCAAGCTGCTTCTTTAGCTGCCCATCGCTGCATCAGGTGTTCGAAATATGCGGCCGGCAACTGAGGACAGTAGCCAAAACCGTCTGCCAAAATCGGAAGAAATGGACAACGTATGCAAAACTGGCCCCAACATGCTGTTTGAGGCTCGAGTCGCACTGTGGTGAACAACGTTGCATGACTGATCGATAGTCGGTGGACGTCAGCAGTGAGGGACTGGTGCGCGAGGGGCTCGCCTCTTTCAATCGCCTAACTAACATCAGACCTTGAATTTGATGAGGTGACGAGTTTAAACGGAAACATGAAATCTTGTGGCGACAACTCATATGCGATATTCAGACTTGGCAGTGGTGATCCTCAATGATTACGAAGAAGGATCAGTCAACTGCAGGTGTTGTTACTGGCTACGAAAATGGGCATCTGACTGTTTAGCATCCGATGGCACACACACCGTTTGATATCGCACATTACAATACCAGATAATGGTACACAGCCATTGAAACAGCACTGAAACATTTTGTCTTCGGTAGCATAAGACTACCGAAGATTTACAACTTGTCTAACCGATATCATCGTGTGATCGCCTTGTTTCGACAACGATGTGGCTTAACGCGATAAAGAATCTGAGAGCCTCCATTTTGTTTCTAAAACCTTGATGCCCATGACGATCCAAAGCAAATCATCCAGAACGGAAATCAGCCGACGAAGAGCCGCGAAGAATGATTCGTAAGGTTCTGGCTGCACCCTTTTATTAACCAAATTCTGCAACAACGATACAGCCGCATAATCCAACCGCTGGGAGGAGGAGCAAGAAAGAGAAAGACAGATCGTCATGAGAGCAATCAGTAATTGCAACTCAGTCATGAAAGGCTCGGATTACGAGAGAGCGCTCACCAGAGGTTATTAATACGCCTCCATTCGTTTGGAAAACAGATCTTTGAAAATAAACAAAACACACACACTCACCATACGGTGTATCGCAGGCCACCCACTTGAATTCTGGAAGCAAAGCAATCATATGATCATACCGCCTACTGTGTCAACAGAACGGAGGAAACCCACCAAATGCACGACGAAAAGCGAGACACTTACTGATAGGCTGCATCCAAAAACGGTGAGCGGATTTTGCACAGCTTCAATTGCCAAAATCCACCAAAAAAGATTGTCAAAAATTCATATCATGTCCACGGTTATC